TGCTCTTAAAAGGTTAGGGGTAGTCAGAATTTTCAAAAACAAAGTTTGCAGTTTTTTTAAAATATAATATTCTCTGAAAATTTGTTGTGAATCCGACAAATACTTTTCAAGTTATGCAATAAATAGCAAACGGCTCTCGCGGTCTCTGCAACGTTCGTGTAAAACTTCATGCGTTTTTCTCAAAATATGTTTTTTGATCTGCTAACCACTGTAGCTCAAAAACCGCCCTGTAGATTTCAATAAAATTTATACAGTTTTTCTGTTTTTGAAAACATGAAAAACCAGTGCCTGATCGAAATTTTTTTTTTTTAAATCCGATTTTTTTATAAACTATTAACTGTTGATTTTTCCCGAAAATCTGGAAAAAATTTTCCTGAAGCCCCTATTTTGTGAATTAACAAAAAAAAAAAAAAAAAAAAAACCTGATTGGAATTAGATTATCTATCAATAAACTAATTTTTTTTCCGATGTAGTATCCTTGCTGCCTACAAGAATGAGTCACCGCAAGGAGCTTTGATTGGAACTGGAACACAAACAGTCATTACTTTTAAAATTATAATTTTTTTAAAATTTCGGTCAAATCACGGCAAAAAGAAATTTCAAATTGTCATTTTTTCATGTCTCTGGCTACAGCTAACAACTTTAGAGTCAGAATAAAGAGGAAATCGATCACACACTAGAAATGTGGATGAAAGAGATGTCGCAGCTCTTCTAGCGACCGTTAGAACTTTATGTAATCAAAGCTTAGGCAGACTCGATGTAATACTCTAAATGAGACCTGTATATATGCATATATAGAGAGAGAGAGAAACACGATTTCTCACACATTCAGTATTTTAGTTATAATTTTTCATAATGTAAAAGCTCAAAACTAAAATCCAACTATTAAAAATAGTTTACCTATTTATAAATAATTGTGTTCGACTGTGATTTTGAGTTACAATATTTTAAGAATATTTCAAATATATTCAAGTTCATTTTTTAATTACTACAGCTCACTCGTTTCTACGGGAAAAATCCACTTTTCGCGGATATCCTACTGACTGATCATTTACATTGCGCTCTCGTAAGATAGCTGATTCGGAACACGGTTTTGCGTCGGTGACTGTTTGAGCTTTAACGTATCGCCCCCGCAATAAGCAAGAGCATGTAGCTCGAAGAATGCGAACAGCTTTCTGTGAAGATGAAAGGAAGCGAACAGAATAATAGAATAAAAGAATCATAAAACCTGCTTTGGCAGAAGAAACCTACAGCGAAGTGACCTGCACAAGGACGTTTTGGGCGTGAATATCTTTAAAGCCGTAAGAAAAGCTCACAAAAAAATTCAATTAACTTTTTTAACGGAATCGTTAGGCGCTTTAGTCTTATGGGTGTATGTAAGTAGGTATGTCTCTATCAAACACGTGTGAAAGAGCAAGTACATACATACATACACATGTATGCATATGTACATGCAGCGTGGTGTTTTCTTTGCTTATCAATAAGCGTAATTAATTAATTGCACGGATTCAGTGAATTATGGAAAAATTAAGGCCAAACAACTCAACCTAGCGCTTAGATCCAGTGCGAAGGATAAACACGAGTCGAAGATAGGTCGCCGGGGTTGTCGAGCACAGCAAGAATACACCTACACGACAGCATGTCCGACCGCAAGTACAGCAGTAATTCTTACACACACACACATACACACACATGACTGCGTACAGGTGGTTGTGTTGCTATTGGCAACGCGCGTCACCTGTGCGATAACAAAAACAACAACAACATCATCTAATTAAGAGCAGCAAATGGGTGAACAAAGCCAACGAATGTATGTTTGGGTGTGTGCCTGTGTGTGTATTTGAGTAGGAGTTAAGCATAAAATCCCTATGCCACATACTAAAAGGAGCTTTCAGCAATTATGTATATACACATACACATATGTATATTATGTATATGTGCGGATGTGGGCGCGTCTGTAGGGAAACACTACAACAATGCGACATACACACATTTACTCCTACAGGTGGTCGCTGCTGCAGCAAGGATATTCCACATATTTATATATTGTATGTTTGTACATATATGATCATGTATTTGTATACCTTGAACAGAATATATTAAGTTTACCACGAAGTTCATAATATCCCTAAGGAAACGTTGGAGACCCTATAAAGTACATATATATAAATGATCAGCATGACGAGCTGAGTCGATTTAGCCAAGTATGTCTGTATGTATATACCCGAAATAGACCCTCAGTTTTGGAGTTATCGGTCCGAAATTTTGCACACGTCCTTTTCTCCCTAAGCAGCTGTTCATTAAATGAAATAAAATATTTTTGCACACCTTTATGCTATAAGAAATGCATCTGTTAAGGGTATTATAACTTCGGTGCAGCCGACGTTAACGTTTTCTCTTGTTTTATGTATGTTTGTGTGCCTGTGATCCAAGTAAATGGCTGCCTTGGATCGGCATTAGCTTTAAGGAAGCGTAAAAATTATTGGAGTTGATAAACTTAATGAGCTGGAAATTGTGTCGCATATATGTGCATACGTAGCTACATATAAATATAAATGTAAGTATGTATATGCATATATTATACATATAAACAAACAAACGACAAATACCCGCTACCATTTGTCCCTATAACCTTCCGGAGCGGTCTCCCTCCGCAACGCTCCTTAACACTTCACTTTCATTTTCACTTTCATTTCGCACTAGTGAACTGGAATTTTCGCAAATTACCGTTAACAAAGTGGGGATATTAATTCACTAAGCAAAATGCGCTTGCCTTGCCACTTGTCTTCACGCTCTCGGCATGCGCTGTAATGTGGCGACATTATATGGGTCGGCAGCAAGCTGACTGCGTACAACGCAATTCATCAAAAAAACCAAAAATAAAAGCAAGAACAACAAAACGTTAGGTTTAGGTGCGACGACAACAATGCGGGCGCATGTTTTATGAAAATTAGTAAGCTTCAATGATACTTTTATGTAGATTTACACACATACAAACATACATACATACAATCATACATTTTATACCCTCAACACAGTATACAAAGTTTGCCACGAAGTTTGTAACACCCAGAAGAAACAGGGCTTCTATATAATATATGTATATGTAAATGATCAGCGTACCCAACTAAGTCGATTTAGACACTTCTGTCTGTATAGACGCGTACTAGCCCATCACTTTTTGAAATATCGATCTGAAACTTTGCATAAATGCTTTTCTCCTCAAGAAGCTACTTATTTGGCGGAACAGACGATATCGGAACAATATAATATATATCTGCCATACAAAGTGAACAATCAAATTCAAATTTTTGTATAGAAAAATTTTTTTTATTTTATGAGATATCTTCACAAAATTTGGCATGGATTATTGTTCAAGGCAATAGTACAATATCCGAATAAATTTTTCAGATCGGATTACTATAGCATATACATAGCACACAAACTGAACGATCAAAATCAAGTTCTTGTAAGTAAGGCTTTTTTATTTGTGAGGGGTATCATACTAGCTGCGGTGCAACCGAAGTTAAAGTTTTTTCTTGTTTGTTGTTTCTTTTGTTGTTGTTAATTATATTGTGCAACAAATTTCATTGAGCAATAAAGTTATTTATTATTATTATAATTATCTCTATAGTACTTATATGCATACAAACAAGCAAGCACACACAGATATATACATATTTACCTCCTCACACACACACGCACATAAATGCATAAAAGAAGAAAGATTAATGTCTGCCAACAGGACATCTCGTTGTAGCGACCATTAATTGCCGTGCATTACGCCTCTACATGCAAAATTTGTGCGTATATATATATATATGTGTGTGTGTGTCATCGCTGAGGTGGAATAATGCCACATACATACACACCCAGTAGTCTACTTAACATAAAGCCGTTATCCTGTTCTATTGTCAGCGCTTGTCTTTTGTGTGCAATGAAGCACAGCGAGCTCTTTACGCTCTTAACACCCAATACACTCACACACACGCACACGTGAAATCTACGATCATACTGAAGCACACAGTTTAAAGTGAGTCGAAGTTTTGAAAATAATAGAATTTAAAATTTTAAAGCGTGGCCATACGCCCCCAAAATTACCCATCAACCACCTATATTGAAAAAGCTTACAAGGGCTGTTTGAATAAACAATTTTCTATAGAATCATCGAAAATCAGTATCAGCCCCAAGGCCAATGTTACAATGCATACATATGTTATACAAAAAAAAAAAACAGCTGTTCGGCTTGGGCCCAGTTTTATAGAAATATACTCTTTTAATCCTGTCATTAAATGAAATCCTAAATATGTCGCATAAAATTCTTCTTTTACACTTCTTAAGCGGCGACTGCAAACTAGCCTCTTCAGGCCTTTTGCCTTTCGACACTTGTTCAACTTAAGAGAATGGTCGCTGAATGGAATAGCACTTAATCAGCTTATAGCTGAAAAATGCGCTGAATGCCAAAGCGTATGGAAAATCTTAATATGAAAAAACTCTTTTAGTCTCTTGTTAAGAAGATTTTTAAGCTCCTTAATTAATTCTTGATATCAACATTTAAACCAGTATATTATTTCAGTATAATAGTCAAACAAAATAGGTTTAACTGTAATGGACCCCAATATTCATTAATTTTTATTACTAAGCTTATTTGTCCTATCCAACTATGTAAGTTTTCCAACTCATAGATTTTGAAATTTTTGCAAAATCTATACGAAATTCATAATATCGGCTAACTGTATAATCTTTATACTCTAGCAAACTAAACCAAAATAAGCTTCTTTCTTTGCGAGTGGCGAATTGAACAAGCAACTGCTATAAATAACAAAGACTGACTTAATCAAATAAATAAATACAAATAGTTAGGGGTTATCCCATTTAATGAGATATCCTAAGGGTCACAGGACTTATATGATATTAGTTCGTGAAAGGTAGCTATAGTAAATTAATCTCTCGTGTATGAAACTATAAAAATATATGTAGATTTCTTTGAATGTGCTCACCTTTAATCAATTTACCGTTTTAGTTTCGCTCTGAGGATTTCTGACCTAAAATAAAAATTAAAACTGATTAGAGAATATTAATTATTAATTTTAAAAAATATTAAAAAGAAGTTGAAAGCAAACAAAGGGCTAAGTTCGGGGAAAGTCGAACCATAATAAATATGTACATATGTAGGTATGTTTATATAGGTTGGTTGAAAAGTTTCTGCGGTACGAATTATATTTTTTTATTCAATATAATCTCCCCTAACTTCAATACACTTGTTCCAATCATCCTCCAATAATTTTATGCCATCCCTCTAATGACTGTTCGAAAACTCTGCAAAATACCCGTTTACGGCTATAATAGCTTCTTCATTCGACGAAAAACGCATGCCACGCAGCAACTGTTTCAGGTTTCTGAAGAGGTAAAAGTCGCTGGGAGCCATCTAGTGAATACGGCGAATGCTCAAGTAATTCGTACTTTAATTCGTTGAATTTTGTCATTGTTAAAAAACCTGGTGTGAGCAGGCGCATTGTCTTGATGAACAATTATTATTTTGCACTGCAAACCAGGTCTTTTCTCATGAATCCTTTCATCCAGCTGATCCAAAAGGCTGCAATAATATTCAGAGTTGATTGTTTTACCTTTCTGCAGATAATCAATCAACAAAATTCCTTTTGCAGCCCAAAAAACTGATGCCATAACTTTTCTTTGCTAATTGTTGTGACTTCACCTGCTTTGGAGCTGAACAACCACTTGAGTCCACTGTAAACGTTCTTGTTTCAATTTAGGATCATCGTGGTAGATCCACGTCTCATCCATAGTTATAAAACGACGCAAGAAATTGGTTTTATTCTGCTTAAAATACTCCAAATTATACTGAGAAATTTGTTTTCGATCCAGTTTTTGTTGAATTATTAACGTGTGTCTCTTCATGTTCTAATTCTCCAAGTAAAATATGAAGTACTCGTTCGTCTAAGATGCCTATAGCATTAGTAATTTTACTCTTAGCCAAACTTGGATCTTCACTAACAATATTATGAACTTGCTTAATGATTTCTGGTGTGATCATTTTTAAGCATAGTACAACCGCGTTTAAATTAACCAGCCCAAAATTCAACGGTGCGTTTTGAAGGTGAGTACTAGTTATACACTTGTTTCAACCAACCTGTACTCGGTATAGGAATAATTAGACGTGCGTGTAACACCTTTTTACAACAAACTGCAAGACGAAAAATTGGCACCAAATATTAACTGAGTTGTTTCGTTGTTATCGAGACGTGTGGGCCGATTTTATTTATTTTAGTTATAAATCGAAATTCATGGATTTTAATATTATATCGAGCCTTTCACATCAATATACATATACCACGTTCTGTTTACAAATCCTATCAAAAATCGACGAAAATACCGTAAATCAATATATTCGGTAGTCGCATACATCAAATGGAAAGATAGTGATTTACTAGGGTTGATCCAAAATCGATGAATTTCACTTGGAGAGATATATGTCCCTTGTACCTCTTACGGTTCACTCCAGGGCCAGAAAGACCTTGCAGTCGCACAAGTTCCGATTGTTGACCAGCGCTTACTGTGCTCACTGGAGGTTCAAAGGTCGAACGCCAAAACGCAAGAAAACATCGGAAAACCGAATCAGCTCCAATCGGATGAAATTGATCCCCTTTAAGCCCTCCCTAGTAAGCTTATTCGCTTTGCAGTTTCCGGTGATTCCACTTTGACCAGCCACTCATACAAGTCTAATATGGAAGAAGCTAGCAGTCAGTAAGCTCAAAGCTAGTATAGACGCTCGCTTATCGGAGTGAATAGTGATTTTATACCATTTTTATTAGAAAATTTTATTTAGATGTCTCATACAATATATTGAATAGTTATAAGGTTTACCTGAAGGTATGAATCTGTTTTGGATCAAGGGGTTTTTGGATAAGTAGAAAAATAAACGAAATATAGATATTCGCAATAAAATCATAACTTCTGAAATATTCGAAATACTTTAAGAAATAAACACTGTTATTCGTTGCAAACAAAAAATGTATGTAAAAAATCGTGTCAATAATGTGTGAGCTATTGCTATTGCCAGCTCAATGCTGATAAGACACTGCGGTAAACGAGGTAATATGAGTACGTATGCGTGCACCCGAATGAGTGAGCCGTCAAACAAATCAAAAATATATTATCTTTCGACGCCACCATAAATGCCGTTGAACGCAGCTTGGGCGGCCACCTCGTGCGCTTCCGGTGCCAGGCACTTGCCAGCAAGAAACACCTACGGATACCTATCAAACGTTATTTGATTCGGTGATTTGGGAAAACGCTTTCGCAAATGCATTTCAATTCGCCCAAAGCGTTTCTTTTCGCAGGCAGCAGAGGCGCAAGATATGTTAATGCTCGATGTTGCCATCGGAGCTCACGAACGGTGCAATAATGTGTGTTAGACGATTTAGGTTTACGTGAAAATGAAAAAATGCTCGAATGAGCATAACAAATAAAATGAAGCAGAAAAAGCCTTTTCAACATGCAATTTATTGGATTTTTTTATTATTATTTAATGCTTTGCGAATTGATATGGAAAATCATTTAAAAGAGAAAAAACAATTATTATGCGGAAATGTTAACGGCTGGAAATTATTGATAAAATATTGAATTGGGAATTGTGCTAACGGCGATGCACATACAACACACAGCAAAAATTTCGGACGTACCAAATATAGATTACCGGGTTAAGCATAAACACATAAAATGTTAGGTTAGGTTTAGTTACTATGAGAATTACATTATTTTTCTCATACACTTTAGTAATTCTCATACACTTTAAAGCAGTTGTCGGTTTAGAGTTTATACAAAATAAATTTGGACAGACGAAGGGATTGCTGTCTGAACTCATTTTGATTTGGTAAGACAAGGGAATAACGCTTCAACAAAATAGCAGGTGAAAAGCTTCATAAAACAAGAAGATGAAGCGACTACACGTAAGATTGCTAGTATACCGTGCCGTCCCGCGATAGTCGGGTCAACGAAATCGGTATGAAAATCGGCTAAAAAATCACCGGGCAAGGGCTGTGAACTCGGCAGCGTTCCTCAACATTATTTAGAAGATGGTCTTTGCCGCTAAAACCACAACAGCAAGAAGCGAATTTGAACAGTTATCAATGTAATTCGTCTTCAGTTCATTTCAAAACACCTGAAGCAACGTATAAAGATCAGACAAAGAAGGATAAAGAACCAACGAAATTGGCCCCGAGATAGAATATACACATACCTACAGCCACGGTCAAATGACACTAGACATTTGTGAATTATATTGAAAAAAGAGGATCCGGATCTGTAATTTGGACGGAAATAAAGAAGGAACCTTTAATTTCGTTCAGAGTTTCTGGTTCGTTTGAAATCTGAAACCACTTTCTTTGAGCACATTTCATAATATTTTAGACAGGAACACAATAGAAACCCAAAGCGGCCACTTTGAACGAATCCAGGCAATAGACTTCGAAAAAGACTAGAAGTCTACATACTCACCAACCATAGAAGCTTAGAATACATTTAAAGAAAGATATTTGACAACTTGATCTTTTAAGAATATAATCGGATTCCTAATAGGTAGATTAGTTGTGATTAAAAGGTTTGGTACATTTTTCTAAGCAATAAGCTGGATTCACTCCTCAGTCCAAGAAAGCGTGTTGGAGTACCCATGGTAGTCAATTCACCATTATGTCCAAATAATTTTCTTATGCAAACATCCATAGAATGATTTAATTTTGTAGTGGCTTGGTCTTATAGGAAGCACGTAGTCTACGAGGAACCCTTGGAAATTAAAAGGCTGATAAGCGCATACGTGACAGTGGAATTTCTGGACTCTAGAAGTCTGATGAACTTATAAGAAAGCTGCCCTGAGAATGTGCTTGTCCTTTGGCTGTCTACTCTTAGACTGGTGGTCCATACATCGGAACTTCCTGCTTCTGGCCGGAGAAAGTTGTAGGAGTTTAAGCTAGACTCTTGCGCAAATTATATAACACAATCTAATAATGGAGTTTTGGTATCATGCTGTAGAATTTTGACAGCAGTTTCTTCCTTGCCGACTTGGCTACACAAACATTTTCACATTTTTACAGCTATCCAGATGACAAACAGGTTAAGGACATTTCGTGCATATATTTTTTTTAAATAATATCAGATCAAAGAATAACTGTCATAACTGCTGGATTAAAGACGACGATTAATGAAATTTTCTAAGGATTATTTTTACTATTTTTCGACGCCTTGCCCATATTGAAGATCACTGCATCGCAGAACCTTACAGTTGGAGAAAGGGTGCAGTGAGCTTTTTCAATGATAGATCGAAGTCAAGAAGGAGAGTAGGTGGCGGCGTCTTCTGTTGGGAGCTCTTCATCAACTCTAGTTTCAGGCCACCGGACCACTACAGCGGCTTTCAAGCGGAGGTGGCTGCCATCAAGGCAGCAGTAGATATACTACTCTGAAGTGCAGCTTTCTTCAAAGAACTGCAAAGCAAATAAACTTACTAGGGAGGGCACCCTTTAATCAATTTCATCCGATTGGAGCTGAGTCGGTTTTCCGATATCTTCTTGCGCTCTGGCGTTGGACCTTTGGACCTCAAGTGAGCTCAGCAAGCGCTGGTCAACAGCCTGAACTTGTGCGACTTTCCTTCTGGCCCAGAGGTCCTCCGAACTACATGCTCTTAGCAAAGTCCATTTCGCCACAATTGTATGTGTTCCGACTGGCTAAATATTCTGTCGGACGATATTTGCCAAAGCTGTATGAAGGAAGGCAAGCTGAAGTCATTCAGCAAGACAAGAGGCTTTTGACAGACTGAGATTTAAATATCTCGATAGACACACCTTTGGCGAATTTAACGAAGTTACTGATATCGATATAAGCCGTCTTAATAAATTTGTGATAAACTCAAAACGCTTCGTCCATATTGACAAACCCTTTACGTACGCTTTTCGCACGCGTGTATCTTTTAAAATTCCCTGGGTGTCGTTAAGCGCGTTTAAAGCAAACATATTTTCATATCATTACGATTTGC